GAGCGCTAACTCTGTTTTACAAATGTACGGAAAAGAGAACGGATTCGTGGGGCGGGCGATATATACAGGATATACTACACTCGAATCTTGGTGTTTTGCGAAATTCTGTTTCTCTCGGAGTTCGCGTCGGGTGGCGTTTCGTGGCGGTGGTGTTTTGCTTCTTCGGCATCGACTGGCTGCGTGCAGATAGGGAGTGGATTTTAATTCTTAGGGTTGTCATCCTCAGGGTATTACGTACTGGGAGTTCTTTGTTTTTATTTTGTATTTGTTCATATTCGTCGGGCCTATCGGTGCCTCCCTTTCGCGATGTTGTATAGAACATACACAGCACTTGCAGCATGTGTGGTTTCATGACATTTGGTTTGTTTTCGATGCGGCGTTAGCAGGGCCGGTCAGGCGGGGGGAGAAGAGATATGACGTCGCAGGCGAGACGTTTCCCATGTTTATTTTGTTGATCTTACATGTGTTACGTCATCAAACACTCCGCATTTCTTCCGAAATTAAGCCGATGCATGTCCCATTTTTTATTTAAAAAATGTTGACCTTGAGGCTTGGGAGGTTTCGGGGGAAAAAAAAGGGGGGGGGGGGGGCGGTGGCTCCCTCTTCTTTTTAAATTTAAAGATGCGTTTTGGAGATCTCATCTGGGATTTTTCTTTTACGTTGGAACCGTCCCGCGTATTGTGTCAAATGACTGACTTAAATGGAGCGATATATAGAACGTAGCAGGCTACAAAATATTGAGTAGTCTGGGGTGTGGGGGAGGCGACTGTGTGTTCTGTTCCGCACGTGCTTCTGGGCCCTTTTCCCATGGTTGCAACGAACTATGCACACCCGAACCACCGGCCGCTGAAGAGGCGCTGCTGGACGTCCGAATCAATGATCCGAACGAGCTCAATGCCGTTGACTCCCCCTCCCCAAAACCGAGTGCAGGATGATCAGATGATGATGGAGACATTCATATAGACGTACGAAGAGGAACCGTTCGCTTCCTTTCCCAGTGAGGGGGAAGAGGACGAGAAGGAAAGAGCCTCGCGTCCCGTACGTGGGGTGGAGGATCGGAGCTGGGCGATCAAAATGACATTTAGTCCGCCGCTGCTGCAGCGGCATCCGTCTCAGTGTCGGGCGAAAACAACCCCTCGAAACCTAAAAATGGCCCCCGCTGGCGACACGCAGTCACCGCCGCGCGGGGTGGAACGGAACCTTTCGGATCCGACCGAGATAAGGGCGAGCCAGGGAGCAGCCAGCGGGGGACTCTTCCCCCCAATCAGAGGAACCCGACTGGGATGGGCGGCGGAGGGGAGACAGCGCGCCGTCGCTACACCCTCGTATTTAGACCCCGCTGGGGAGGGGTGGTGCCACGGGCTCCTCCGCTTTTATTCTCGTTATTCTAGAAATCCGGCGGCGGCGGCGGCGTTTTCAGTGTGCCGAGGCAGACGGGGCGAAGTTGCTGCCTGCTCTCTGCCCATCCCACCTCCCGAACCCGACCGGTGTGTCTGTGTGTTTGTGTGCGCGCGAGAAGAAGCAGCAGCGAGCTCGGATTCGCGCGCGCGCGCCGCAGTCAGAGAAACGCGCAAAAAACCAGTTTTTCCTTTTCTTTCATTTACTTTCTGTTTCGCCGCGTCTTGTCGCGCATCCTCTTCTCCTTTTAATCTGCGCTTTCGCCTCTTTCGAAGTCGTCCCTTTCCCCTGTTGTGTCTTCTTCTATTCCTCCATCTTTCCTCCAGTCCCGGAATAAGAAGGGGGGAACGCAAAAAGGAAGAGGGGAGAGTAAAAAAAAAAAGCGAAGGTCTAGTCACTTTCCGAATAGGAAATAATGAGATATAAACGAAAGAGGAGCAACCGACGCCGCCGCCGCGCCGAATGCGCGAGCGGCTGGGGCGGCATACACCGAAGTCGGACTGGTTTTGTCTCTCTCGAAATTTACATTTCTTTTTCTTTTTTTTTTCTTTTTTTAATCTATATATTTCAGGCTCAGGCTGCGCGTTGGTTGCTTCGCGGTTGTACGCCCGTATGTTCCATGAACTGAGCGCAAGTTTTGTTTCGCTGCTCCTCACGCCGAAGCCGAGCGAAGAAGAACGCGCGGAGAAGAAAAAAAAAACAAAACGAAAAACAACGACCAGAAGAGACTCTTCCTCTTTCTGTTCTGCCTCTCTCATTTCATTCCGCTTTCTTTTTTCTCTCTCACATCGTGTTTTGCACCGGGTTCTTTCTTCTTTTTTTTCTCTCTTCGTTCGTCTCAGTTTTTATTCTTTTGCTATGCGCTTTGGGGTTCTGCCCCTCTCCACGTTCGCCTTCTCTTTGTCCGTTGCCCTCTCCCCCCTGAGTTTCCACTCTCTTTTCGTTCCTCTTTATTTTTCTTTATCCGCTTCCCACCGTCGCTCGGCTGGTTTCCAAGATGGCGTCCTCGTGTCAGCGAAATGATTCATGGCGGCTCCGGCTTTCCCGATTGTCGCCCTTCGGCGGCACGCCGGCACCCCCCTCCCCTGGTTCTGGGCCCGTCGGATGGACCGCTCGCATTCGGAGCCGTCGGCGCTTCTGCCGTTCTCTTACACTTTTCGTACTTCTTTCTTTGTTCGACGACCTGTCTTAGCGTAAATTGAAGAGTATTCTTGGGGAGTTTTGGAATTACGTAACCTCAAACGCTTCTGGTCGCCACACCGTGCGTGTGCCGGATTCGCAACGCGTGTTCGGCCTTTGGTGCGCATGCTATCCTGCGGAAAGAGCGTGGCTTTCCTGGTTCGCCCCAAAGCGTATTGAGTTGTCTCAAATCGTCTAGTTAACAGGTGTAGAGGAAATGCAACAAACCAGTTTTAGGCTACATGTGCCTTACCATATTGGCGTTGACAGAACATGCGTAGTATAAATAGGAAGTAACATGTTCTCCAGATGGCAGCATTTCTCGTGCATAAGAACAGCTAGTACTGCATCTTGGTGGGACTCAAAGCGTGAGGTAATTGAGTCTGGGTTGCAGTGGAGGAACGCTATTTTAGAATTCTTCGTATATTCTTCGCTATCGTTTACTTCGCTAGCGTTTACTAATACTAAATATAATACTTAAAAAAAGCTTTATTTTTTCTTGTTTTTTTTTGTGTTTGTTTTGTTTTTCGATCCCGGTGAGCTCTCGCCATAGTTTCTCCTGGTTAAAGGCAAAATTTCTCGTAAACCCCTGAAAATACGAACATAAATATATTTTTGAGATCTACACTCTGGGACACTGTCAGCGCGAACAAACCATCGCCGGTTTTCACTGTCTTTCTCTCGGCATTGAAGTATTGTCATCAAAACTGCTACACTGATGGAAAGGGCCTGCCTAGTTCGGGTAATAACCCAAAGGCTAAATTTTGATGCTTGCCAAACCCTTTCGAAGTTACATGAGAAAAAGCGCCCAAGCCGTGTTCGCGCTAACTCTTTCGCGCACTGTTGTACTCTTACTACTGAACAGCACTGTTAGTGTTGTGTTTCATACCATGTGTCTCTCCGTCGCATCTGCTTGTGTCAACGTACCGTACCACACCCATCGAACGTGAGGTATTATCTTAGGCATTTTCTGTCTTGCACGCTTCACTATAAAGGTTCCTTTTGCATCAGGTATTGCGCAGCCTCCGAACTACACGCAAACACAGGCGCGCGTTTTTTCATCAGGTACTATTCGACGCACTATTGTATTTTATATATGTATATAATATTTTTGTATTCGATTTTTAGCGGGTTCGCAAAGACCAAGTAAGGATTCGCGAGGTGGCGACGGGCGCAGATCAACGTCCAACGACCCTCGTTCATTGGGTTCCCCGCCTTCTTTCGAAGCTTCTTCCGCTGTCGACAACTCGACGTCGCCGGTTGTCGCGCCCGTCCCGGCCTGGATGCGAGTCACGTCTGGGCACAAGTGGGGCTAGGCGCTCGGTCCGTGCTCGACAGCTCGGCTCGATGTCGCCCTCCTAATCATTGCATCTCTCGCCCTCTTGGCGGCCTGTCAACGCGCGCTCCGTCCCCATGGACAGAAAGGAGAGGAGGTGTGATGCGTGACGAGAGAAAGGGGGCCCTTTGATATCCCCACCATCGCAACCTGACTCCTCAATATGTCCGCGCAGCGGATTGAGTTTTTTTCTCCTCGATCGCTCACTTCACGGGAGAAGATTGAGAGGGCCAAGTCTGATCCCACGATGGAACGTATTGTGCTTCCATCTTGGCGAAGTTTGATGCTCTTTTAGGGTATATCCCAGCCTCATTGTAGAAGTGGGAATCCCTCTTAAACATTGAGGCGACTGCACACAAATTTTGTTCATGCTGTAAATGCGAGTCTCATGTGGATGTCTCGAATTGCGCTAACGGACGTTTCGTATCGCGGAAGGGGGGGTAAATGTAGTAAAAATATACCATGCGTTCGGCTGAAGTACCGCTGAACTTTCTATCACACGGGTGGCTCCACTGCCATGTGCGCAGTGACTGTTTACAGATCTCTGTTATTGTTGTTGTTTTCTTTTGTCTTGTATTTTGCTGTACTTCGGGATACTACATTATTTGGTACACCAATACCCTTTATTGTGTATGAAATAACACCTTGAAGTGAAACACGGAATATCCACTGGGTTGTAAATCCTTGGCATTACAAGCCCTATTGGCACGCCCAGCGACTGTGAGCACCTGCCACTGAGTTAGTCATATCGAAGCTTTCGAATCGGACGAATATTTCATCGTCAACATTCAATTATTGGTCATGTCGACTTCTGTTAATGCAGTTTTACCGTGTAGAATAGACTATAGTTTTTGTTTTTTTCTTTTCTTAAGTCACTCAGTAGTAACTTCTTTTAGGGTACCTCTTTTCCGGCAGACGTACTAAACTCAACTCCCTAATGATTTACAGCCCGGTCGATCAAGCTCGCGACCGCTCCAACAGACGCTTCACATTGAAGCGCTGACTATAGTAGAGTAAAACGAATAAAAATAAAGCTCCGGAGAGCGAGATGAAGCGCTCATTTTCTCTTTTCATTCAATCGTTTCAGATCACCGCAGGATGGGAGCCACGGCGGGCCGAAAGAACCGGGCTGAGGCGGTGGCCACCCATAGAACTCGGAGGACAAGGCCGCCGGTCCGCGGGCTGATCAGCCGAGGCGAGGGACACGGCACGGAGGACAAAAACGCTTCCTGGGACCAATTAGGGAAGACAAACTGCCGCCGACTCCGAGAAGAAAGCCTGACTGACACAAGGCGTGTCGGATCGGCCGGTTTCTTCTTCCCCCGGGCCCCGCTGATTGGACTCCGAGTCCAGCGGTCCGGCCGCTCTATTCAATGTTCCTCCCGTTTAATCCAATCTCTCAAATACTAGAGCGCAAGCGGGACGATGGCACCGAGGGCTTGCCGAGGCGGCGGCGTTGGCATCGCAAGTTGAGCTCTAGTGTTCTACATCTACCCTGTAGATCCGAATTTGTCTGCAACAAGACTACAAATTCGGTTCTAGAGAGGTTTGTGTGGTACATACGAAACGACAACTCGGCGATGGAGCAGCGGCTGCGAGCTTCACGAGGGCGACTTTGGAAGAACACGGGTCGTTTGTAACTACAGTTGTTTTCAGGAATGCAGCGTTTTTTTTTTTTTTTTTATTATTATCATTTAGTATCAAATGGCATTGTCGTGTCGTAATGTCTTGAACGGAGACTTGCTGGGTGCGTGCTTTTAATTTCTATTTGATTTCTAAATTAATATTTTTTTGTGTTTGTGTTAGAGTGCGTGGATGGGTGCTTGTTGCTACGGAAATAAACAATCACAGCTAATTTCCTTTCATTTGATTTTCCGGTGTTGTAGTCTTTTTCTTACAGGTGCAATCCAGCTGGTGAAGTATCTTGAACCAGGAAAAAGTTCGCCTCGGCATATGGTCTTGTTATTGACATTGTAAAGCTTTCAGATATGCAGTAAACAAAAGATTACAATTACACCCCCAATGATAAGAAGAAACACCAAGACAGGGAGACGACACCCGTGTGCCTTAGTTTCCTCCCCCTTTGTGTCCTTCAGTCTAAAATATATTCTTTCAATGTGCCTTTTATACTACATTTTCCAGAATCGGGAAGGGAATATTGAAATAGTTTAAAGCAGCGAACCTCCGGGTTTTATCATAATATATGTTTAGGCATATGGTTTTATTTTAGCATAATATATGCTGACGTACCTAGGTTGTCGTTCTTGTCTCAATTGCACAAATAAATAATGAGCTTACGGTGTACGTAGAGGAACTGGTAGGGAATAAGGTCGTACCAAGGTAACAATTGCACAGCAGGGGTAGCGCTTGCGTGCAACACGTAATCCGAAGATTCCAGACGAGCGGCATCGAACAGAATGAAGTCCTGTTTTTCAGAAGCAACAAAACTTGGTGGGAAGACATTTGAAGGAGCGTTGAGACTTGCGCAGTGGGAGGTGGTGGACTAAACATTTAATAAGTTTCCCTTCGGCGTCGAATTGCACATATCTTAACAACTTGATTTTCATGTGTCAGTTTTATTGTTTTGTTGTTTTCTGTGTTTATATGAGCAGAAGTGTGGCTATATACTGTTCCCAAGTTAGGTGAGACCTCCGATGTACCAGCCTGATGACTGAAAGCCTAATTAGCATACGCGTAGCGCAGCTAATTATGTTAACGCATCTCGCCTCACGATTCGTTCTTCGGGGTCCAAATCTAACTAACGCCGTAATTTCATTGGCTGGAAACCTGAGAAGTGAACGGTGGTGTTGCATCGCTACTTCAGTTATGGCATGTCTGACGTTTCCCCATTAATGACGCTACTGCTGTCTGAACTTTGGGATGGATCGCTTCTCCGCAGTTCTTATGTTACAAAAGACTACAGTAAATAGATCACAGAAATATCTAATAGTCATTTCGTGTTGACAGTGGTATAGACCAATATGTATCGAAAGTAATCTGAAAATGTAAAGAAAAACATCGCTCAGAATTTACGGAACTACACTTGTGTTCCAGAATCACGACTGACAAATAAAAAACCGTGCTTTTTCTTTTTAATTGTTATTTTAAAATACTTATCACAATTGCTCTGGTTAACGTACCACCAGCGTGTTTTTTTGTTGTGTTTTTCTGTTTGAATGGTTTAATAAATTTTTAATTTGATACTATGCCTCTCTTACTCCGCTGAATCTGACTAAGGTGGCAGCATTACGGATGTGCTTGAGCTCTAGATGTTTTCTGCTCAGTGTGAGATCTCAATATCTTTTTAATCTATTCCCCTGACTTAGTACGCACGCATATAACATGTACTGTGCTTCGGGTAACTGCAATCGTATTTCAACAATACTGCTGAAAGGCGTGAACTTAGTTGCGTGCTGTTATAGGCACTTAATCCGCGTTTGTCAATGCATCGCCATCACGCCTGATTTTTCGACCGCATACCAGCACTGCCCGGTGGCCACTGCAATAGCAACGTATATGTGTCTTGTGTCAGGTAAGTTCGGGCACTTTGAATACAATTCCATGATAATGAGCAAATATCCAGGTTGGTCTTCCAGATATTTAGATAACAAAATCACCTCCCGTTTTCAGGCGCATCCTTTACAATATTTAGAGTCAAATATAAAACAGTGACATAAAAAAATAAAAGTTTTAAATATGCGCGAGTCGCTGCCGTTGCATCGCGTCTCGTAGTGTGGATTTTGGATTGCAGTTATAATAAGTACTGAAGGCTGAACTCTTTCGGCATTACACTTTTGGTGTATTTCGTTCATTAAGAATTTAAAACATAACATAATCATAAATATATCTTTTAGCGCTTGAAGGTCATCTAAATCGACGTTAACAGATAATTTTCAATCCAACAATAATTATCAATAGAATGAACCCCTGGACCTTCGAAGCCTAGCAACAAAAATTATCGAAAGACTTAAAACAGAAAGTCAAATTGTTCATTACGGTAAAATTTGTTGGGAAACGACCACAGTGCGAGAGAGTAAGAAAATTAATTAAAAATCTGCTGCTGTTCGTGAAGTGTAAGTAAGTATTTCACACAAACACCGTTCCTAGGCATTATCGTGATGCACTCTCAGCAATAAGCCGCCCATATTGATCGTGTTTTATAAAACCATGCCACATCTTGCGCCTAATATTTGTTGGCATAATCCTTAATGCAACGTTTTGCTCATGTCGAAGTTAAGCGCATCGTACCGGACAAATGATTCTAAAGGGGCGCTGTGCAGAAAGCGAAACTCGACTATTTGCTCACAACCAGACGTGTGCCCGTTCCTTGAAAACTGTAATGGATTAGAATTACAAATTACTCCGCCTTAAATGTAAAGGATTCCGGTTACGAATAGCCTCTGCAAAAAAGTAGTTGATTACTTTACTCGTTACCTTACCAGCTACTTTCACTGTTTTTTATTACATTTGTTGCTCGAATACTTTTTAAGAAGTAAACGAAAATTCGATGTTCTCATAAATTTGTATTGCGATACCGCATTCAATATCACGCAGTGCCACATTATTGTGACCGTTCATAGTAATAAAAATGGTAGATATATATAATTTCATTAGTCGGTGGCAAAATAATAAAGCAAAAAATAATCCAATAAAAGTTCTGCTTCCAGACCGTGCAGTTTGTAGTGCGCAGTCTGGAAGCAGAACCTTGGTCGTGCTTCGGTTACGCGCTCGTCAGACTACAAATATTATCGACGGTAGAAAGCTGAGAGCGCACGTTTTGGGAAAGCTCAGGTTGCGCTGGTGCTGAAGGGCATCAAAGCATTTTTAAACGTCATACTTTGGTGCCTCGAACGCGTCTCCGACTGGTGTGTTTACCGCGTCCAAAAAAGTGGTCCCTCGATTTCCGCCTGATGACGTCATAGAAGTGTCATGTTGTCGCCGATCGCGATCCTGGCGGCGTCTCAACAGTTGTGGTGTATATGGCAGACGCCTGTTCTGCTGTAGGTCGCTCTCCACTGTGGCAGTCTACGGAAGCTACAACAGCCGGAAGATGGGACGCCGTGACGACAGCAACACTCGCTTTCGCTCGTGCTTTTCATCAGCATTTCTACGGCCAACCGCCAGGATCGCGACATCCGATAGCATGGCACTCCGGCTTGTGTGACGTCATTTGTTGCCACTTGGTGACCAGTTTTGATGTATGGCCGGAATAGGACGCTAAACACACCAGTTGGAGACGCGCTCCAGGCACCATAGTCATACCCTTGTGCTCATGACGTTTCCGACCCATGTCAATGAGTTCATCGAACAGCGTTTCATCGTCATATCGTTTTCTTCTATACTGCGACTTTTCATCGACCGTTCATTGCATGGAGAGTTGCTCACGTCGGTTTTAACGGCACATCTTGTACGACGTTTCGTCGAGAACTTCTTTCTGTTTACACCGCCTCGGAAACCGGTATCGTAATGAATATCCGACTTGTAAAATGCTTGGCGGTTCTAATTCTAAATATGCTTGCCTTAAAGGGATGCTGAATGTAAATTTTGACTTCAGAAAACAACGCGGAAGCGCTAGGCGGGGTGCTACAAACCCGAAAGCATCACTCATAAAGCGATATCTCCAACGGATGGTCGTATTTTTGTGAAAGAAGAGCGCGCTGGGGAACAAGACTAAAAAGGCCCGTGACGTCGCGATTCTCGTTTCCTCCTCTTCTCGCTTTGACGACGCGAAGAGGGAAGGAAGCGAGGCCGTTTTCTCCCTCCTCAACAATTCTGCAGGAAACGCGACGTCGCAATTCTCACTCAATCGCATCCTTATTTTGCAAAAATACGGCCATCCGTTCGAGATATCGGTTTATGAGTGGTGTTTTGGGGTTTGTGGCACCCCGTTAAACACTCCTGCTACCTTATTTTGTAAAATCAAAATTTCGCTTCACCATCCCTTTAAGCACATGCCTGAGTTACATTTTTTTTTTTTTTCGAGCTGACAAGAGAGAAGCGTGGGGTGGCCGCGCGGTAGGCACTATAGCACAATCGACATATGCAAAAAATAAAATAAATATACTGCTACCTTTAGGCATTTAATTTACGTCACTGTACAGGCAAAGAAAGAATAAAAGCCAAAATTAATTTTAATGAAGCCCGGTACAGTTTGGTTGCGCAGGAACCAGTTATAGCACCGAAAAAAAATTGACGCGAACCAGATTGAAAAAAAAAAAAAATACAACGGGTGAATTTGCGAGCCTGAGTTCGGACCGTCCAAAGAAGGCCACCGTCCGGACCGCCCGTTGAAACTCTTCGGCGTTTTTGTTTGTAGAGGGAAAATCACCTATGTGCACACACTATCGGAGGCGTGAAGCGACGCATCGGTCCTCTTCTCCGCGTTCCAACTTCCGTCGCTCCTTCCACGCCCAGTCCAACTGACTGAACCTATAGACTGAACGTTGCTTCAACCCACGAGCAGATGATCAAATGGAAGACGCCTGTCTTCCCTTTGCCCGCCTGTCTTCCGCTACCTCAGCACGCCAGCCACTATACTCAGTTTAACCTTACGACAGTGGCGTACCAACTTGCTTTTGGGTGGGGGGGGGGGCCAACCTGACCCCCCCCCCCCGGGTCGGGGGGGGGGGGGGGGCGGTGCCCTTGTGATCTCTTGGGGGCCGTGGGTCAGTGTTTGCCCTGCCCAGTGGGGGCTGTTTCATGTGGGAAAACCCATGCCTTGCTCTCCCCCCCCCCCCCCCCAACTCTGAGAACTGGGGGGGGGGGGGGGTGCAAGCCCTTGCTCCCCGATTGGTACGCCCTACGATGAACTGCAGCGGAAACTATGAGCCATTTCAGTAGGTCCAGCGCTGTAGACGTATACCTATCGCGTGACTACACAAGTACGGGAAGCTGCTTCCTTTTCGAAGGTCCCATGACAGTCGTACGGCATTAGGACTGACTCCGATTGCTCGTAGAGGCCGTTGCGATCCATTTCAAGGTGAAACGGAATACACGACCCATGGGACAAACCACACCGATGGCCGCGTCGGTCCATGCTATACAACAAGAAGAAATGAGAGAGTAACAGCATCTGAGCTAGCCTCCGTGGCGTGCAGTGCAAAATGCCGAATGTTCTCCCGCCAAAAAAAAAAAAAAAAAAAAAAGGTACATAATTAGGGGAACACTATTAAAGAATCCAGTTTCAGTTATAGATTATTTTTTATAAAGGTAGCGAAGAATCATGAAATTTTCTGTGACTTAAATTGTGTAAGTAAATTATGTTACAATAACTGCTGGGAAAATGTGGAAATTGCAAAATAACTTGGGAATACAAGTCATCCGCTACTCTGATTATTCGCCAAGTCTGCTCAGAACCCACCAATAAATAAGAAAAGTTTGAGAATTTTGTGTTCGGAAAGCATTTTTGGTTCAGGGATCAAACACCACTATCGAGCGAATATTATTTCGGGCGTGCAGTGTAATATTAGCCATAAACGTACAACGTTTTACCAATATTTATTTGAAAAAAAAAAAGCACCTTGTGTAAGAACATTTATTTCCACAAGATGCTCCTTCACAATCGTGACAAAAATTGATCATCAGATCGTTTTTTGTTCTCCGAAATAGACCACTAAAATAAAGTTTGCAAGAAATATTGGGCTGGAGTACATATTTGTTTGACGTATGGTCAGTCTAAAAGACAAGCACGGCTTAAAGGCCGCCGTACAGTTCGCGCTTTCCACTTTTTTGCGTTTCCTCCTCTCCTGCCCTCCTTTCCTCCCTTCACCGCCCTCCGACACCTGTTTACCGCCCTCCCCCGAAGGGCCAAGACGGAGAATGGATTAGGAGACGCCTCCGTTAAACCCAGCTTAACCCGCCGAAGCGGGTTAAGCCTGCTGCTTGACTAAAAATTATTTCGCTGCTCGAAAAAGAAGAAAAAAAAAAAGATAAAAAGAAAAAGAAATGCCGCGGGCAGCGACCGAATGCGTATTGCCGGATGCGCAACGCTCCGTCCGCCTTGAACAAGCTGGTATGCATTGGATTAACATTTTTCGAAGCGCGGCAGGTTTAGTGTAGGTTTTATCATACGGTCCTGCAAGACCTCCCTGTCCGCCAACGACGGAAGCGTATTCAAACAGTGTAAAATAAAATGTATATAATATTTATAAGAACACCGTTGTTTTCACTGCTTGGCTTTCAAATTTTTAGCGCTGCAAATGAT